CTCTCTCTCTCTCCCTCTCTCTCTCTCCCTCGCTCTCTCTCTCTCTCAGACATCACTAATCGACTTTCCGAACCGGAAGTCAGACGGTGGACCTGCGGCAGGTCGGGTCCGGATCTTTGAGTCATGGTGTTCGAGTCCCTGGTCAGCGACCTGCTCAACAGGTTCATCGGGGACTATGTGGAGAACCTGGACAAGTCTCAGCTGAAGATCGGGATCTGGGGAGGTGAGCCCAGCGGCTAGCTAGCAGCTACTGCAGCAACAAGCCAGACTCCGCTCAGTAATATCATAAATTAAAGTGCAGCGCGGTGTGTACGTTTACGAACACGTCAAATCACGTGTCCGATGGTCCACCGTGCAACTGCAAGACCCGCGGTTCAATTCGGCGTCAATCTCATCTGCAAATTAGCTTTGGTTTGCTTGTAATTTCAACTTTAGTCAAAGCTTCGTCTTCTGTTCTCCTGCAAGATACAGGGAGACGTCAGAGGAAGCGAGCGGGTTGCTGCGGGTTTAAATGTGAAGTTCTGTGGGTCAGTCGAGCTGCTGCTGGATCGTGTGTTCGCCGAAGTGGAAAACGTCTCATTAGGATCAGAGAAACTGCGCAGCCTCGTGTTTTCATCCATTACATGTCACCTGCGAAACCATTCACATGAAACTAGACTCAGGTCGAACCAGGTTTGATTATCTGAACTGTCATCAGGCCCGAGGACACGTGACTACACACAGCCAGTGAGTCAACATGACGGAATCTGAACTTGTGATGAAAAACCAAAACATCACGTTGAACTGATCCGAGAACAGAGTCTGAGTCTGTTTGTTCAAGTGAATTATGAACCAACGAACCAGAGAGAAGCTGGGGGTTAATAACAAGAGTGAGGTGGACTATATATATCTGATCTCAGTGATCCATAACCTGATCTACAATCAGTTAACATCTGTGATCTATCATCAGTCAACATCACTGATCTACAATCAGTCAACATCTGTGATCTATAATCAGTCAACATCACTGATCTACAATCAGTCAATATCTGTGATCTACAATCAGTCAACATCACTGATCTACAATCAGTCAATATCTGTGATCAATCATCAGTTAACATCACTGATCTACAATCAGTCAACATCACTGATCTACAATCAGTCAACATCTGTGATCTGAATAACCTGAGCAGATCAAATGAGTGATCAGTAAAGTGATGGGATCAGTTGTTATCAGTGATCAATGACCTTGATGTAAATGACAGGTGTCTGTCACTGGTCAAACTCATCGCAGTGTTTACGCCCACCTGAGTCACATGACTCCGCCCATCAGCTGTGAGGTCACAGCAGGTGGAAACTGATCCTGATCACTGTCATCGATTATCAGATTATTGATTATTTCCATCAATGAAACTGAATGAAGAATGCGTTCACGCCACATTTGCCGCAGACGTGTTGGACAGAGACATGTTACATGTACATTGTGTTCACGTGTTTTTATTTTCATTTTGGACACGTGACTGTTATGTACAAACATGTGAGAGTGTTTTTCAATAGAAACATGTTTCTTCTTCTCGTTCTTTAGGAAACGTTGTTCTGGAGAACCTGAGAGTGAAGGAGAACGCTCTGGTGAGTGACAGTGACTCTGTGGCGTTGGTGTGAAGCCTCAGACCGCATCGAGGTCACGGATCATCGCCACCATCTGACGTGTTAATGTAGTGTAAACACACATACTGATCACATGACCCAAACATCCTGTTTGATGTTGGCCAGTTTGTTTGTTCAGTATTTTAGCTCAGAGTGAGACCTCTGCTTCCCCGCAGGCCTCCTGTAGTTCACGACAGGTTGTAGTTAAATGGTAAATGTTTGTATTTATATAGTTTCTAGTCTTGATGAACACTCAAAGCGCTTTACACTACAGTTTGCCGTTCACCCACTCACACACATTCATACATACAGTGCATCTATTCGTAGTTACAGTTACATCCATACTTAGACAGGTTGCAGATTAATATTCCCTCATTCTTTAGATCATTGATTAATTGAGTTATTATGGATCTGTACTGATAACACCAGTTTGTGTTTCAGAGTGAGTTCGATGTTCCGTTCAAAGTGAAGGCTGGACAGATCGGTGAGTTCCTACCGACCCATGTTCTGCATCTCCTGCCGTTTGTCTCATTCAACACATTCCCTCTGGGATCAATGAGTCTGATCAGTGATTGAATAGAAACAGTCGAAGCTGATAATCGTCTTTTGTTTCAGGGAAGTTGACACTGAAGATTCCCTGGAAGAACCTTTACAACGATGCTGTGGTCGCCACGTTGGACGGTCTGTACCTGCTCGTTGTTCCTGGAGCCAGTAAGTGTTTAAACGTTTCGCAAACCACACACACTGACAGATATTCATGTGCTGCTCTGCATGAACAAAACCTGAAGACGGAGCTCCGTCCATGTCCTCGGTGTCTCAATTACCAAATCAGCTGATCACAGACCGTCCGTCTGTACTCTGTGTTGATATCCCATCAAAGCGCCGTCCTTTCCTCTCACCCTGGTCACCATGAGACCTGCAGAGGGTTCTGATGGGGTCCGGGTCTACCTCAGGGTCTTCCAGTTGGATGTGTCAAAAGGAATAGTTCAGAGTCGTATATCATGTCCATGAAGGACTCAATCTAAAGACACATGAAGACTTGATGGACAAATTGTTCAACAGCAAGTCAACTGATCCAGGACCAGGACAGGATCTGCATCAGTCCTCTTGAACCTGAGATCCATCACAGACAGATTCAGGTTCAAACAGGAAACAGTCCTGACCGGGGTTTTAATTCAGTGACGTCAGTGTTCTGCTGCTTCAGGACCAGTCAAACCTAAACGGACTCGATGATCCACATCGGGGGTCTGACTTCTACCTTGTTTCTTCTGGATTCACTAAATGAACTGTTTTTTTTTTTTTTAATTGTCTTCATTCAAACAACACAACATGCAAATCAGACAAACAAACATTCAGTGTGGGCAAACACAGCCGACGTGGGTGATGACCAACGTATGTCAGACAAAATTCTTTAGTCCCTAAACTACAACGTGAAACTAAAACTAACCAGAGAAAACAACTTTGGACTCATCTCCAGATCTGAGGGCCAATAAAATAATGTTCAAAATCTCAGGCGCTGATTGGCTGGTCTGGAGGCGGAGCTAGCACATAATGTCTAACATTGTGTTGTTTATGATGGAGTGTGTGTTCTCAGGTGTGGTTGTGTGTGTTGCAGCTGGATCTCAGCTGGAATCGTGTCCGTATGGTAAGATTCAGGTTCTCAGGGGGTGGTTCAGGATCAGGTGTGACCCAGTTTCTGTTTCCTGTTGTTAATCAAGCATGACCCTTCACAATAAAAGACTTGAACATAGCGTTGATTGTTATTGTTCTTCTTTTTACTCGGTTGATTAACGTTCACTGCTTTTCTTTTTAGGTACTTGGTTTCTGTTGTAGTTGAGTGTTTTCTATTCTGGGATTTCCTTCTTAAGTTAGTATAAACAGGGTCATGAGTAGTTCTCACTGATCCAGTAGATGTACCAGTATCTGGTTCTGGAACAGTTTTCATTCTGTAGAATACAAAGCTGCTGATCTGCAGCAGTGAAGAGGCTGATGATGACCAATCATACTGAACTGGCAACTACAAATGTCAGTAGGCGGATACTGATCATCACGCATCCTGTTATCAGAGCAGGTCTGGGATCAGATATGGGTGTGGTGTTGGCAAGGGCCGCAATGTTTTTTTGTTTCCCTGTTAAGTGAACAGGTGGATCAGGTGGGTGGAGGTGAAGGTGAAGTTAAACATCTGCTGAATCACAAACTTGACATATTGTTTATTTGTGTGTTTTTTATTTTAGCAATTAAGTTCGATGCCGCAAAGGAGGAGCATTACCAGCAGGAGGCGAAGCAGCGAGAGCTGCAGCGCATCGAGGAGGCGTTACAGATGGCTGCACGCAGAAGTGAGACACGCTGACCTCTCACTGACTCCCTGTTTGTCCGTCCTGCTTCCTGTTTGTGCTTCCTGCTTCCTGTTTGTTCTTCCTGCTTCCTGTTTGTTCTTCCTGCAGTCAGACACACTGAAACACAGCAGATATATAAATAGATTATTAACAGATGAATGTATTAACTTTCTCTGTGCTGTTCATGCTGCGTATGATGTCAGAATCTCAGACTGGAGATCTGCTCTTCAGTCTGGAGAGTGTTGTTTACAAGGAGCCTCAGAACGGTAACACACACAATAACACACACACACACAATAACACACACAATAACACACACAGACATGTAAAGACATCACACTGGATTGTTTGCACATGATGACATCACACTGGACTGTTAGGGCCCTCACCTGCCCGGTCACACACTGTTGAACCTGAACTCGTTACGGTCGCTCTGACCTTTGACCCTCACCTGTTGAAGGTGTGTTTCTGCTCCCTCTGTGTTTTCGGGCTTTTCTGTCGCTAACTGCTGATTCTCCACTTTTAACGCTGCCAAAGTCCCAAAAGGAGGTAAAAAGCATAAAAAGCACAAAAAAGGTTTGAAGAAGCTGAAAGGACTCGACAACAAATCAGGTGAGTTTTTCTCTGTTTGATCTGACATGACAGCGTCTGGTCTGATGCGTACGACACAGGTCTGTTGTTTTTCTGTGGTCGGACACATCCGACATGCGTCTGTGGTTGGACATGGTTGCCGTGTTTTCTTAGTCCAGGTCGGGCTTCTGTTCAGGTCCTGGTCTCTGACCGACTCTTTTTGTTTCAGAAAAACCTCAGGAGGAGAAAAAAGACACGCTGAAGGAAAAACTGGCGACTCAGGTTATTAAAAACTTGCAGGTGAAGATCAGCAGCATCCACCTGCGCTTTGAGGACGATGTGAGTACTGATCCAGGTCCAGGTCCAGGTCCAGGTGCTAAGACCTCAGCTGTAGTGACACTGTCTTATATGTTTCAGCTGTCTGACCCAGAGCGCCCCCTGTCTATGGGAGTGACACTGTCTGAGCTCAGCCTGCAGGTAACACACAGACACACACACACACACACACACACACACACACAGACTCAGGTGTGATGTCGACCTGTGATTTTTTCTTCTTTTTTTCAGACGACTGATGAGAGCTGGAAGTCGTGTATCCTTAACGAAGCAGCAAAGATCATCTACAAGGTGACAGACGCTCTGCTCATTCATTTACCTGAGTTTCATCATGTGCACAGACAGAAGCCGATTGGTTTAAACAGAAACAGTGTCACCTGTGTAACCTGAGCCAAAAGCTTGTGTCCCTTCTGTCATCTGATTGGCTCCGATGGATTCATGATGTCATACTGACTTGTTTAACGGTTTCAGCTCGGGCGACTCGAGTGTCTCTGTGCCTACTGGAACGTCAACAGTCAGATGTTTTACAAAAGATCATGGGAGGACATTGTGGTGAGTTGTGATGTTCTAATGATGCATCAGTTTGTTTCCACTAAAGAAAGTGAAAATAATGAATGATTGATGCTTCCTCCTCCTGCTGCTCCTCCTCCTCCTCCTGCTCCTCCTGCTCCTCCTCCTCCTCCTCCTGCTCCTCCTCCTCCTCCTCCTCCTCCTCCTCCTCCTGCTCCTCCTCCTCCTCCTCCTGCTCCTCCTCCTCCTCCTCCTCCTCCTCCTCCTCCTGCTCCTCCTCCTCCTGCTGCTCCTCCTCCTCCTGCTCCTCCTCCTCCTCCTCCAGGATCAGTTGAAGTCTGGGATCAGCAGCTCAGACCAGCAGCTTCCTCACTATCAGTACAGTGAGTTCATGATTCCTCATCAGTTTTTCATCAACATGTAGAAGTAATCTGTTAATACTACCAGTACTCACCAGAAGGTGGCAGTAACACATTGCCTCTTCAGTTACCTCTAAAGTAAATCAGTTATACGTTACCAGTGGGTAATTTATCAATATTTAACACATCCTGTTCTCTGATTGGTTTATTTTTTTGTTCTTCTGTAGTTTTCAAGCCGATCTTTGCTTCGGCTAAAATGTGCATCAACCCAAACGCTGAGCTGGAACTGAAAAGTCCAAAAGCAAAGCTTCACCTGGAAGTTCAGAACATCGCCCTCGAGATGACCAAACCACAGGTAACGCCTGAGACACATGAGACAGACAGGTGTGTGTGAGAGGGTGTGTGTGAGAGGGTGTGTGTGTCGTCGTCTGAGTCTCGTCCTGTCGTTTGTCCACAGTACCTGACCATGGTGGAGCTGCTGGAGTCCATCAACTGTATGGTGAAGAACGCCCCCTACAGGAAGTTCAGGCCTGAAGTATCTGTTCACAGAAACACCAAACTCTGGTTAGTTTTATTTTAACTCGTCATTCAGAGGAGAAAGTCTTTCCTCTCAGCGACCCCTACAGGCTGCAGTGGGAATGACAGTATCAACCCATGAGTTCTGATTGGTTCTTAACATGTCACGCGATTCATGAGGAGACTCAGTTTGTTCTGTAGAACTAATGAACCCGATCAGTGACCTCAGATCGTTTAAGTATGACTCACCTGTAGTGAACGTGTAGACGCTCTCCTGAGGGTGGCGCTAGAATAATGATCACAAAGACACAGATCCTGCCATTAATGAAATGTGAGTTTTTAAACTGACGATGTAGTTGATCTGCTTTGTTTTGAAGTTTGTGTTCGGGTCAGAACAGAACTGAACCTGTGTGAGATTAATTTCAGATCTGTTCAGAACAACAACATGTTCAAGTCACAAACAAAACCTGAGAGTGTGACCTGAGTCAGACCTGTTGGAGGCACTAGAGGAAAGGTCATGGGGTCATTAAAGTCTAACCTACAGTAGCTGTGATAGATCCTTTTGTCTCCGAGCTGCAGCTCTGACGTGTCATTTCTCAGACCGACCAGTAGGGTGCATTTGTTTTCTCTGCCTCTCTCAGGTGGAGGTACGTCCTCAACAGCATCCTGGAGGTCCACATCCGACGCTACAGTCACATGTGGTCCTGGACCAACATCAGACGACACCGAGAGAACCTGAAGGCGTACAAGTCCGTCTACAAGACCAAACTGAGCCAGAGCAAGTCGAGTCCGGACACAGAGCGACGCATCCAGGTGCAGTACATAAAATGACCTCAAGGGTCTGATCATGAACGTTAATGCAGTAGACACGTAGAAAAACAACAGTGATGAGATAATGAATCATTTAGTTCTGTCAAACATTTTCAAACAAAAGTTCTCCGCTACTTACGAAAGTTAATCTAGAAAATAAACTCTCTAGATTCTGGAATCGAAGTTGCCTCCTCCGAGAACTTTGTAAAGTTGTGTTCTGTGTCTAACGTTAAATGTATATCGCAGCTCTCTCTCTCTCTCTACATATATATATAAAATGTATATAATGAAGCTTGACAGTGTTTCTGTTATTGGTTTGAATTCATCTGTTTCCTCCAGGAGCTGGAGAAAGTTCTGGACGTGTTCAACATCACTTTGGCTCGACAGCAGGCTCAGATGGAGGTAAACTCTGATCCACACTGAGACACGAGTCCAGTTAACGCTGAACACTGAACACAACGTGACTCCTCTCCCCCGTCCAGGTCATCAGGTCTGGACAGAAGGTGCTGGCGAAGAAAGCAGCGGGGGGGCAGAAGCAGGGGGGAGGTTTCTTCAGCAGCTTGTTTGGGAGAAAGCCTAAAAAGGAGGAACAGGAGCAGGAGGAGAGCAAGGAGACAGAGAGTAAGAGATTTAATCTGAAAATGATTCATTGGGATAAAAAAAATGGAACTAAAGGTTTGTTGTGTTCAGGTTCTGGACTCGACGAACTCATGACGGCTGACGAGAAGGAGAAACTCTACACCGCCATCGGATACAGCGGCAGCTCTCACAGCCTGACGTTACCCAAACAGGTAGAATGTTATAATGTTAGACTTTAATGTTGTAATTTTTCTCTAGCGTCACCTTCAAGAGAAACTTCACTCTTTGAATCGGTGTGTGTCTGTGTTTCAGTACGTAGCCGTGGTCGTCAGCTTCCAGCTGTTGAGGACCTCGGTGACTCTCAGAGAGCTGCCGGACGTCCCAGAGATCCTCAAGATCCAGATGATCGACCTCAGCACCAAAATATCCCAGAGACCCGGAGCTCAGGCCATCAGGTGACATGTCCTCTCCATCATGTGTCTGTGTTGTAGAAGAAAAGAGTAGAAACACTTCCTGTGTTTGATTAAACATCTTTATCGTCCTGCAGGGTGGAGGCGGCACTGGAGCACTGGTATGTTACTGGTTTGCAGCAGCAGGGGGCAGTACCCTCTCTGATCGCCTCAGTAGGAGACTCCTCCTCGTCTCTGCTCAACGTTCTGTTCGAGTTAAACCCAGAGGAGAGCACCGCCGACCAGCTTCTCAGAGTCCAGTCACAGCCGGTGGAGATCATCTACGACGCGGTAAACACAGATCTGACATCAGATCAGATTCCTGCTGTGTGTGTTTGATCTAAATCGGTCAGTGCAGACTGGTTCTGGTTCTGATTTATACTTCTTTGTCTTTTTGTCCTGCAGCTGACAGTTAACAGCATGGTGGAGTTCTTTCAGACGGGGAAAGGCATCGACCTCGAGGTCCTGACCTCAGCCACTCTCTCAAAGTTGGAGGAGATCAAGGAGAAAACAGCGACAGGTCAGTTTGATGAAAACAGCCGTTGGTTTGATTCTTGGTTCTGGTTTGTTTCCCAGGACTCTTGACGGGTTTTGGTTCTGGTCTCTGCAGGTTTGTCTCACATCATTGAGAACAGAAAAGTTCTGGACCTGAGGATTGACCTGAAGCCGTCCTACCTGCTGATACCAAAGTCCGGCTTCTACAGCGACGAGTCGGACCTCATCATCGTGGACTTTGGCAGCTTACAGGTCAGTTCTGTTTTTATTTGTACCTGAACTCACTCTGATTCTGAAGGAAGTTGAGTGTGTAGTTAAATGTGTGTGTTTTCAGTTGAACAGTGTGGATCAGAGCAGCTTTAGCTCGTCTTCATCGTCCTTCCCGTCTCTAGAGGATATCATGGATCGAGCCTATGAGAGATTCAACGTGGAGCTGAGACGAGTCCAGGTCCTGTACAGCAAGTCAGGTACACGCACACGCACACGCACACACATACACACACATACACACACATACACACACATACACACACAGGTGTTGGTACATTTTCTGAATCCAGGTGTGAACTGGTTCCAGGTGAGGGTTGGAAGTCGGCTCGTCTTCAGGGTTCATCACTTCAACACATCCTCCAACCGATGGACTTCACCCTCCACCTGGCAAAGTGCATGGTGGCCAAAGACGCCCGGATGCCCAGGTAACACTCACCTGTGGACACCAGCCATGACTCTGACTCACCCACTGAC